TACGGAGACTTGCCACGGTCTCCAACCCTCCTCCTTTCTCATCCGGACTTGGGACCGGCCATGGCGGAGTCTACTGAAGCAGCGTTCGAAATGCTGCTCCGTTAGAAACTTCGCGAAAAGTCCTATGGAAGGAGCTAGAACCACGGAATAGAGCTTAGAAAAGCTTGGCATTCTATCTTCGCTAATCATTAATATGCATCAGGGAAAACTTTAATATTTGGCTACGTGATCGGAAACAGTAGTTTTGCCTAGCAACAGTGGGCGTTCTGATACCAACGAAATAAAGTACATTGTGTAAATCTGCGATACCTTTTGTCATCCAGTGTTGAATCGACACAGACGTATATGTTCATTTGTTTCAAGCAGACCCATACTGCTCTTCCCATGGCCGAGGAACTGTACCTCCTTGCTAACTACCTTTTACTAATTTAATCTTTCATGGTTGTACAGATAATTTGTTAACATGCATATATCAGCGGTATTAGATATATGAAATCAAAAATTTGCTGATTTATGGAGTAACTTTAAGCCAGTAGGTCTTTTCCTTCTTCTCCAGAATGAAGACCCAGAGGTTTCAGTGAGGTTTCGAAGGCCGTAAAACATGGCTTGGAACTGCTTATTGCTAACTATGCTTCATGCCATCCACCCTCTAAATGTCAAAATCATGGCACTCCAAGAATTATTTTGCATATTCACATACTCTATGTGAAATACTTTAAATGAGTAGATTGGTGTGATTGTTGGATTCTTGCTCATGTTCTGTTTCACTAAAATATAATACAGCTTAACCCCTTTGCAATGCAGGGTGACCATTTGAAGACAGCGATAAATAGCTTTTAATAAGTGGTCATTTTCTAACAGCAACTCTACTTTTTTATGTGTATGTCGGTTCACTCATCCGTTGTTAAGCATCGTTCCATGGTGCTAACAAAGTCGATCATAGACTCAGCCACAGATGATAACTTCGAGAAAATTTGCGAGACAGTCCGAAGTACTTGTATCCATGTCTACGCTGAATTCAGTTGTTTAACTTACGTTTCTACCCAGCGATCGTTTCACTGTCGCGCTCTGCTCAATCAGCTGAGCGATGAGAAGTCAATATCCGCAACGGGAAAAATAATTTTTGACCAGCAAATCCGCCTTCTCAACTTTAGTAATCATCAACACGACTTTGGAACGTCCGAACCTAGATGACCGCATGAAATATGTCGTTTTATCATTACGGTGTTGCCATTCATCTCAATGTTCATATTTAAACTTGGACGAGAGGTAACTCATATGGGAAGCTCTCCTTTGAATGATTAGCCATGTTTCTTTAGTTTTGTATGCGCTGTTTTTATTTTCAGAAGAAGCACGCTATTCGATGGTGCCTTCGCTGTTCGGCCGTGTAATGTCTCCTCAGTCTCCCGCGGCTACAACACACTTTCCTCTACGTCATTCGCCTGCCGTCACTCCGCGCACTAGAAAAATTTTCAAAGAGCCCCTACTGAAGGCCTCTATAAAGCATGGTTTCACGACTGCCGCTGGGGCAAAATCGACGACGAACGTGCCGTCATCGAAAACGTCAGCCGTTTTCTCTACGGCGAATATTGCGGCTAGGCCAACCGTGTCTAGCATTCTTTCCTCGTCAGGTACTCATGTTTAGCTTTTGCCTAACATCTGACTGGCGGCCATTTTAGAAACGATTTTCAGACCACAGTTTGGCAGAGTGATCTATCCGAAGGTGAAATCGATATCAACGACCGAACTGCCAGTTGTCACGATGGACAAACAATCTACGATGCTGAAAACTCCTCCTGTTTACGTCCAAACATCAGCACCAGCGAAAATTTCCACAACTACTATTTCATCCAGTACGGAATCGATTGTTGATGCCACTGACAAAAGCGGTATAAACTGCACAATACTTTTTTTGCGTTGGTGTTCGTATTACTTATACAAATTTGGCTAACAAAATTACTAATTTGTTGTTTTTTGCAAGCTAAGCTACTCTGGCTTTGACGAGAGCACTTTCACGGACTTTTAATTGTATCATTTTCTTCATCATGGTGTCCTAAGTCTTCACATACCCTTTAATCTAATTTCGCTGCTTCATTTAATTATTGCCTACTTATAACATGCATAAATCCCCTTTCACATGTTCACATGGTGCTACCGCGGCATGTCTTTCTTCTTCATGACAAGGGAGCCATTTAATTAGGCCACGGCTCCATTTTGAAGCATCACTAGCTAGAGAAATATCTTACTTGCTGGCAGTAGTGCCTCGGTGCTAGTTACTGCTTGAGCAGCAAAACCTTGGTTTTTTGCCGGGAGTATATTAATTAACGTAATTCCACTGCCCTTGCGGCTCGATACGAACTAGTTAACAGTTAAACGACGACATCTACGCCATCTGACATCTTGAAAGAAATGTCTGAGGTACGAACTGAGCAGTCGGTAGCAGTCTATCTTCAGACAAGCCGACGTGTTGCGTTGTTTTTAAATAAATCATGTTTGTTGCAGTTTACTTCCGCTAATGATACGCTTAATAACGAAGCGGCTATATGCCTTTGTTTAAGCAGTTTAGTCCGTAAATGGTATCTGGCTATTAAATATACATGATTATGCCGGTTTTCGTTCGAATCACTAGAACTTTCATCCGTTTGAGGTGTGGTGATACAGTGGCTAAGAACTCGGCTTTGAACTACAGAGATGACGAGTTGGATTGCGCTAAAGGAACAACGTTTATCGTAACCTCGAATTTCTATGAGCAGTAAATAACCCACCCCCCCATGTTACTTTGGCCAAACCAGCCGAAATGCAAGTGACAAGTTGTTCACCCACAAATAACGTAGATATATCGGTATTCAGGTCTGTCATGCCGGAATGGGTGAGGTTTAAGTCATGCTGCCTGATAGCTGATTATCCAATTTAATAGTCAGCATAATGTATAACCCTGATTTTTGAGGTAGATATAAGACTAAAACCGCATGGTCAGCGAAAAACGACATACTGTGTTTGCCATACAGCTGAATGTATTGCTGCTATAAATAACGCTCCTCCGGTGAGTTTCTTCGATAGAGGAATGAGCACTCTGACAGCTAGAATAGAAAATTTCGAAGGGTTTACGTGATTTGCGACTTTTAATGATTGCAATGTATTATGTTCATATCATATTCCATTTTATGTTGAAGCAGAAGAAAAATTCTTCGGGAAATCTGCCCTCGTCTCATATGTTTGATATTTTAACAACTGTCATTTTTAGTTTAAATCAACTTTTGATACCAGTGAGTATAAATTAGATACACCTTTGTTGTAGATGACCAGTGTACAACCCTTTCTTGAGCAGCAGCATAGATTGGTCAAATAATGTGCATTGCTTTTGTAGCTGCTATAGAATCCGCCACTGCCATATGCAGTTAAGAATACTGTGCTGCGTAATATTGGTCGTCTTTCACTAGCATGGCTGGGCCATTTTAATGCCGTTGTTTTCAAGAAATTGATTGCGCAGTGCTGATCTCCGTTCCCGTGCCATCAGCCAGAACGCGTTATTTTTTTTTTGAAATATTTTTTATGGTAGAGCCTACAGCGATGTCGCAATCGTAGCGTGTAATCTCCAATTTCCTTCTCGCAGAGTCGTATTCGTTTATCAATCTCGGAAGGATGAAGGGCGAGGGACCAAACCGAAGCTTGAACTCCGAACCTATGATTGTGGGCAACTACGATATGAACCAATGTGTAGTAAATTTCTTGGTCGATGGAATTATTGAATATGACTGAGATTGCCCTTGGGTGGAATCGAAATTCGCATCTCCGATATTAGAAGCGCACATCTTAGAGAACTGCCAACATGTCACACAATGTACTGTGTTTCGAAGAGTCCAATCTTCCGTCAATGTCATTGAAAACAGGCAGTGCCTTTGTGGAAATAGCAAAACAGAGCAAAGAAACGAATTGTCTGTAAATATCTTCGTTAATTCATTATAATTCACTCTCAGTTGACTAGAAGAAATAAATGTCCTGTGTCATTCAATCTTCATTATTGTCACGAAAGATTTTCAAAATTTTTTACTCAAGAGCAGATGTTTCAGAGAGCCACTGCATTGTGCATCATTGCTACAGAACTAGCCATAGCGGTAAACGGGTGTGATTAACCCTGAAGCAATATGCTAGCAATTCTTTAATGAAGTTGTTTTGCCATAGTGGTCAGTGGCTATCTCACTGATCATCATATCTCTCTGTAGTGTTACTGGGTAAGATTTATTTGATACGACCTGCAGTTCGTCAAAACTAATGGCGTTCTAAGAAGGGAGTCTGCTCCTTCAAAATGAATGCATTAGTATATGACGGACGGAAGACCATTTTACCAATATCGAAAAACAAAGATCGATGACCCGCCATTCAAGGTAATGTCTTTTTCAGAAGATTGATGGTACCTAAAGACATGGTTTTGCCATGATTTCGTCACGATTAATACAAATAGTTCGCAATCTTTTCATCAGTATTTCAGTTGAATGCGTACTGGAAAATATTTGCTAGGTAATGTTCCTGATGAAATACACTTTTTGAATATATTTCTAGAGTTATGCCGAATAAAGAACATCGAAGGTCAATGGCATACGTTTGGCCAGAACGAAATATTTCGGGTATGAGTTATTTTTAAACGATTTTAAACTTCTAATCATATATTAGCTTCTGGTGATATGCACCTGCGCTTCAAGTGCAAAATATGCGCCATACAGTATACTAATGTAATATAATACTATGTAATATCTTATCATCATCAACCTGTTCCGTCTATGGCTCGATGAAATCGTATTTAATTAAGTTTGAACGCTGAGTTCTGTCTTTAGCGTTCTGAAGGAGACCTATAAAACGTGACCATTTGGGTAACGGCTAACGTATTGATGGGTAGTAGATAATATAAGCAGTAAGAAACACTCGCGGTTTAACGTTGATAGCACTTTTAGGCGTGTGCGGCCCATTGCGATTTCAGTATATTTTTAAGCTTTTGGGCCAGTTTCACAAGTTAACTTCTGTAGTCTGATAAGTGCACCATTTGAATTATGCAAAACACTGCAGTTGACCTTTACGGTTACTAAAGAAAAAATTATGGCTTATGTTTTCTTGCGTTCCTACATCGGAGTCAGTTTTTCCCTAATGAGCATATTTCATCATTTTCTTTAGTTTAACTATGGTCAACATTAAGATAGGGAAACATCTGAATGTAGGAAAAACATGGAAATTGTATAAAAGTGGCTTAACAGGTACTCTTGTCACTTCACCAAATTTTAAAACCGTTGGCCAGTATTGTTTGTTGATGCATTCTACAACATATTTAAAGTATATGGTAATAATTTGTCATCTTTTTTTCTTCCGCCTCAGTTTTTTTTCTTCTTTTCCTTGTCGTTAAAGGATTTCTTCCAGTATTGCTTAGTAGACAAAGATCCTGTATTTGATAGAATCAGAATTGCTTACTGGAATGACCCTGCCATTGGATTAGGCACTTACAAAGCTGTTCTGCAGCAAGACTTCTCGTGCCTTGTCTGATTGACTGTTGCTCGTTTTATTGTCGTATTCATGAGGTGCTTAGAAAATCTGAACAGCCTTGTTTACGAATTACAGTTGCTTGCTGATTTATATAATCAGTTATAACAATGAAAACTGCACATTGCTTAATAATATAAGCATAATGCTTTTAGAATTACTCAGACGCCTTTCGTCAGTGTTTTTCTTACTGTGAGTGCCACGATGACCTGAACGTACTGTGTCATCTCATTGGATGTCTGCCGGCAGAATCCTGCAAAGGGCCTGTCATGACTCATGGTAAATCTGGATATTCACGTACAGAGACCAAATCTATATAAGCTTACTATTTATCCGTCAGCCTTCGGCTCTCCAAACTGGATGAAAAATCGTGGTCTCTGCGTATGCATCAGTGGTGCGTTTGTATGCGAAAGACCTGAGCAGTACCAACTGAGAGAAGAAGGTACTTCGCTCGAGTTTTACAGTGGTATTTTCTGTTTAATATACTCCTGTATAATGTAGGCATCTATCTTTTCGTCGGCTATGCGCATAACGAGATTCAGTGGCTGTCGGAACACGTGCCTATTGAATTGCAGTATCGAATAGACCTTGAGGACCCTGAGTTCTTCCATTCGGTAATCGTTGGGCGACTGCAAACCGAGCTCAAAACCATGAATTTAAATGTAATATTTTACTTTATAAATTTATCGCTACTACTTAATACTTCTAATCGAATCGTCATAATTTAAGGGCATGGATTGCAGGTTTAACATCTACTTCGCTGTGCCCGGAAATTTAATACTACAAATTGAAACGTTTGCCGTAGAAATGGCTAACGGAAGTAGTTTAGCAAAGTGGACCTCTGGGATCGAGGCTAAGGTAATACAGACAGGATGTGTGAAAAAGAAACTATTCTAGTAACTTAGATATATCTTTGTTTAACGCTAAAATATAACTTGCAACTGCTGGATTAAATTCGTCAAGGTTGTAGGAAAAGTCTGACCTGAGGATTCAACAGTGGTACAAATCATGGTTTGAAAAGCCGAAGTATTACAACATTCAGAAAGTTGGAAATTTGACTCGTATTGGAATAGAATCGTTAGTAGTACGTGCCATCTTCTATTTAGAGAAATAGCTGATTCACGACTGCACCTATTGAATGGTGTCAATGTCAGATCGCGTTTTTATAGCATGTCTGACGCATTCATTTGATTATCATATCAACAGAACACATTACTCTGCCGTTTAATTATAGTGATGACATTAGCATTTAATTAGCAAACCTCTACGTTTGTGTCGCACCAGTTAGTCGATACCAAAAACAAAGGATCAAATGTCGAAGCAAGGTACCAACTCTTCTGATAGCCTCGAAAACCTGTAATGAATCCACAAAAGACGTTTCGGTCTGGCTCATGCATCTTCCTACGGGCTTTTGTTCTTGTGACAAGGAGGTACTGTTCGTTCGAGATTCACATTGGAGCTAACAAGCGCCACTCGCATCACAAGAAACCCCTGAAATGACGGACCGTGATGCGGTCCGAAGCGTCCCCATCCGACTAATATTCGATTCTAAATTATTAGCATGCGTTGTATTAGCAAACTATTTTAAAATTATTTTGTTTGTATTTAGCAGACTATCAAAAGCTATTCTAATTCAAATTCCTTTGCGTTGCCTGGTGAAAATCCATTAAATGGTGTTCTGCTTCCTCCTCCCCCCATGCTTCACTTGTCCTTCAGAGATATTACATTGTGATATTACAGGTTTGCAAACGAACTGTGAAAAATTTATCAGAAAATTTCAAAAAAGGACGTTATCAACACGACGTCGTGCTGTCGCTGGTTAAGCAAGTAGGAATAGAAGATAGTTTGCCGAGATCGTCAGCGAAACTAGTCTCTGCACACCGCGCATGTCGTCTTGTGCATGTTTTACTCGCATTGCTGTTAATCAGGTACTATGCAGATCTCTGATAGACATATTTTCAAACTTTGTGCCTTAAAGGCTATACCTGTATAACGTATAATTCTTCTAAAAAAAGTTGTTTGTTGGTCAGAGAACTTCAGGATGTCGGGAAACGAACCCTGAATATGTTAAAAAGATTTTCAAACTAAAATGCACTCCCTAATAAGCACATCTTTGCAGAAGCGCATTAAATGTACTTTTAATAAGTTAATATAGTATAGCATATAATATAACTCCGCCATGGCCGGTCCCAAGCCCGGATGAGAAAGGAGGAGGGTTGGAGACCGTGGCAA